GTTTTAAACTTCTTTATTTTGCGGGTTTTTTTTTTTTAATTTTTGAAAATCCAGGCCTTTTTTGATTTACTCTTAACTTATTTTAGATTATTCTAGCTCATCCTTTTAAATTTTCAGCTCCTAAATGCTTTATTTTTTCACTGTCTCATTTTTAGATTTCTGTTTACCTCATTTTAAGCAGTTTAGCAATTTATATCAATATTTTATCATTTTAATTTCTATTTTTTATGGTTTTAAGTGTACCTTTTTAAAAGTCTCACTGTTGTCTTTATTTTTATTGGGGTCACTATTTTTTAGCTTTAATCTTTTCAATTACTTTTTTACTTCAATATTTTTTAAATTGAGATATTGTTAAAGCTATATTAATCTTTTTTTATTTCTTTCACTTATTAAATAACAGGTAAATATTAGGAGCAAAATTTTGAAACTTCTCTCTTAAAAGCAAAGATGATTCAGGGTGTTTTCTCCTACTCTAGTTTGCCCTGAAAGGAAACCACTTTTGATTTTATCCATTTAAAAACAAAATATAAAAAAATAAAAAAATAAAAACAAAACATAGAAGCACCTGGGTGGCTCAGTTGATTAAGCGTTCGATTCTTGATTTCTGCTCAGGTCATGATCTCAGGGTTGTAAGGTCCAGCCCCACAGTGCCCGGCTCCACGCTCAGCATGGAGTAAAAACACAAAAACCAGAAAAGAGAACTCTGGCCCATCTGGAGCCCTGGAGACCCAAAAGGATAGCATTCCTTTCTACTAGATCACAACTCCTCCCCTCCACAAAGAAGTCTTCAGAAACAGGACCGTGGGTCAACTTCATAAAGTAGAACTGCACATTCATTCAAATGGGCTTTGGTTACTATAAAATTAGTCAGCTAAAATATTTGGGACACCTGGATGGCTCAGTTAAGCGTCTGCCTTGCCTCGACTCAGGTCATGATCCCACGGTCCAGGGATCCAGTCCTGCATCAGGCTCCCTGCTCAGTGGGAAGCCTGCTTCTCCCTCTGCCTCTGCCCTCCTCCCCCTGCTCATGCTCACACTCTCTCTCTCTGACAGATAAATAAAATCTTTTTTAAAAAATACGTTTACATAGCGGGCATGAGACCAGTGTCCGTAGAAAGGCCCACTTTCAAGGTTGGCCTTGGCTTCAACCTGGAAACGGCTTCCTGCCCTAACATCAGACTTCCCCTAATGATAATGGTGGTTCACTGTGCCCAGACGGTGCAAACACTAAGGTTTATGCAGAACGCCGGCTTTCCTTCGGGAAGTCTGGAGTTTTGGTTCATGCTGATCAGAGGGTGCTCACATGACCAGCCCCCGGTAAGAACCCTGGTGCCTAGTCTCTAATGAGCTTTCCGGGTAGACAACACTCCACTTGTGTTGTCACCACTGGCTGTGGGAGAGTTAAGCACCATCCTGTGTGACTCCACTGGGAGAGGGCCCTTGGAAGCTTGCCCCTGGCATCCTCCAGACCTTACTCCACGCACCTATTCCCTCTGCTAATTTTGCTGTTTTCTTTCACTGTTATAAATTTTAGCTGTGAGTGCAGCCCTATGCTGAGTCACGTGAGTCCTAACAAATCATAGAACGCGGCGGGGGGGTGACCTTGGGAATGCGGACAAACAGGGCTTCTCCTAGCTCCAGAATGGTGGATAATTAGTTCCTGACTTAGTCATTGAGGTTTAGCTCTCTTCTAGACCAGATGGGTGAACTTTTCCTCTTTTGGATTACTCTAGAAATTAACAGCCCCAACCACCTGTCACTTCAATAGGAATCTCGGGGCCAGTGCCCCTCACTCAGGCTCTGGAGCAGTGTCTGAGAAGGAGAAGTCTGAGGCTGGTGCTCCGTGCTGATGGAACCTGAGATGCTCTGAGTGTGGGGGGGGGTCTCTGCTCCGTTTTATGGTTTCTGCAGTACTGTCATTGATGTGGTCCACTGGCCATGACTTCATGGTCATTGAAGGCATGTGATCTTAGTGATAAAGTAAGGTACTAACTCAGCCTCAAGCAGCAGGAAAATAAAGCTCGGCCTGGCTGTTGTACTTGTGAAGGAAATTGGTGTAAAGAATGGCCAAGGGAGAGAAGAAGTGAATATTGTATATTTTCTCAGATCAGGAAAAACTAGGCCTATCTAAAACCCCCCTGGTCACAGTCAGCAGATGCCATGTTATTTACAACCCAAGCTATAGGAGAAGCTAATTGATTACATCTTTCCAGAATTGAAAAAAACTGCCTGGAACTTGCCTCTTGGGGCATGGTATCTCTCTCAGAATGTACAGTGTGGTGGGAAAAGTCTGCCAGCAAGAAACCTAGATTTTTAAAAATGGTATCATTTCCTCCAGAGTCTTACTCTATTTTTTTTTAAGACAAGAACAGATTGGCTCCTTTAATCTCAAATCTCTAGGACCCCCATATCTTCCAGGTTTTACTTTTCAGTACAGAAAGACATATGTTATACTTCCCAGCTTCATCTCCATTAGCTCTCAGTAAAGGCCAGATGTACACTAGAAAACTGATAGATAGGGTGCCTGGGTGGCTCAGTTGGTTGGGCGACTGCCTTCGGCTCAGGTCATGATCCTGGAGTCCCGGGATCGAGTCCCGCATCGGGCTCCCTGCTCGGCAGGGAGTCTGCTTCTCCCTCTGACCCTCCCCCCTCTCATGTGCTCTCTCTCATTCTTTCTCTCAAATAAATAAATAAAATCTTAAAAAAAAAGAAAACTGATAGATAGATAGATACTTATATAGGCTATCATTATACTATTCTGATATCTGATTTCAATTTATCTTTTCAACTTTCTATTCTATGTACCTGACAATCATTTTTGGAGATCTGGGTGTCAAGACTGACAATCTCACTTGGAGATAATCTCTTCTTTGAAAACATTTTTAAACCACTTTATTGGGGCATGGCTGACATCCAAAAAGCTGTGCAGATTTCATGTATACAATTTGATGGGTTTGGAACTAAGTACACCTCCATGAAACCACTACCACGATCTAGGCCATAAACTTATCCATCACCTCCAAAAATTTCCTCCCATCCTCTTATAATAATTGTCATCGATATTATTTTGTGGCAAAAGCACTTAAGCTAAGATCTACCCTCCTAGCAAATTAGCCAAAGAGTACAAAGTTTCAGTTATATGAGTACATCCTAGAGATCTACTGTACAGCATAGAGCTTATAGTTAATAATCACATATTGTACTATTCTTAACATTTTGAGGAAAATAAATCCCAATAAGGAGTCCTAGAGCTGACTGAAGGTGAACACTTAGTGTAACTTTGCCCAACCTAGGAGGAGAGGATCCATATCCTGTGACATTTGAGCACGCTATTCGTCTCAGCTTTAAGTCCCAGCATCGGTTGCCTCAAAATTTGGTGTCCGAAGCCCCTTCTTGCTCCTCTATGGTACACCTGGTCCATTCGTTGAGGCCAGCTTAAATTCTTTTGGAAGGGAGCCATAATATAAATAAACAAAATACATTTGACAGACCATTACCCCTGAATCTGAAGTTTAATGTCAATGTAAAACTTGCGGCTGGAGTCATTCCTACAGTTACTACCCTGAACTCATTTTTCACTAGCAGACCACCTCTCAAAATAGCTTCGGTCCACTTGATTTGAACCAAAGGAGACATGGCGAGTGGTGAGGTGAATCATCCCTATTCTGGTGGCCTGCTGGCTAAAGCAAGGTCTGGTGAGTGAAAAGGTCAGTTAACTTACGTTTGTCCATTTAAAACCAGCTCCAAATAATTGTATGCTGCCTTAAAAGTAGGCTTTCGATAGAAGTTTCTACTTGTCCTCACCGAAAAAGTTTAAAATTCCCTAGAAAAGCTGTTTTTCTCTTTCTCGATATGATTATCATAATTCAATCCATAGAGAAGGAACGGGGTGGGAATATATTAACATTTCAATCCAGCTCAAAATAACTTAACACAATTATTTTCTACTTTCTGTGCCACGGGTGCCCCTACTGTGTGACCTATGGGTAAATAAGGGGGTTTTTATCTTATGCTGTAAATTCGATCTTGCCGTAATTGGAAATTTTCCTAATTAATCTTCAGACAAGACAGGCAGTGACCGAATTTTTGCTTTGCTGTGTGTTGCGGAGAGGACTGCCAGGCTTCTGCAGGCACCGTTAACTCTGCCTTCAAGGGGCACTTTGGGAAAAAGCACAGACTTCGCCTAGAACATGAACCACCATAGAGTTCCCTTCAGCTGACAGGCCAACTAGTTTAAGCAGAAACTTTTAATATATTGATGGTTTAACAAATATCACAAAGGAAAGCATACGAGTGTGAACACTTTTGAAAATACATTTCTGTGGCTTATCTTTGGTAAACTCATGTTCCTGCTGTCGGCTGCACCGCAGTTGAATATAGGTATTGGGTAGCCTCTCTGGGTGTGTCTGGAGGTTTATAAATCAATTGACATCGACAACAAAATCATGTAAACTCCATGATGGCTAGGTGAGAAATTTGTTGGAACTAATTAACTGATTCGTTTTACTATTTTTTTCTCATAAGAACTAAATCTGAAGAAGAAGATTCTCTGCCCTTCTACACAGGTTCATGAATTCATAAGAACTCTTCTTCCCTGAGATGTGGTCCCATGACAACCTCTGTATCCCAACTGTCTCATGCAGTGTTGTGAGAACTGCTAATTGGCAGATTTTCAACTCAAGAAGTGAAACTACCTTCCCACTCACATCCTTTCCTATGTGTTCTGGAAAAAAAAAAAAAAATTGAAAGACAAAAGAGAAGGGCAAAACCTCAGAAACATCATAACCCAGAGAGATCCAGTTTATAAAATATCTTCAATAAATAGTGCAGCTTCTTCTTCTCAAGCTGGCTCTTCAGGGCGTAGATCCAAGTGGTGAGGTTTGTTCCATCTGATTTATTTTTATAATTTCTCCTTTAAGAAAAATGGCCATTTTTCTCAAAAGGCACTGATGACCAGTATATCATCCAGGAGTCATAAATGACTAAGCAGGACCCAAAACTCTGATCACAATCAGTGTTTTATTAACAGAAAGGAAAATTAGAAAGACAGCAAGAGCCCGACATTATCTGACTTTTGTGAAAGGCAAAGGATAAGATTTCTTTGTGCTCATTGTCATATACTTCAGAAAATGGCCACAACCTGGAAAGTCAATAAAAGATAAACTAAAAATCCAGAATGGAGAGCTTGAGACACTTGAAAGGCACCAACCAGATCAGATCAAATAGAAAATTACAAAGAAACTTCAGTACATTGATAACTCAAAATCCAAATTATAAAAGTCAGGGAAAACATAAATTGCATAAAACTTTTATTATTAATTAGCAGTGCATTCTTCTACACTTTAAAATAGAACAAAATATCTTTTGGAAGGTAAACTATTCATAACAAAATACATGTCAACAATTTTTATTTTGGAGTAGAATTACTTTGCTATATATACTTTCTATATTATATACATACACTTCTTGGTTTGTCTAAGTATCTACATGTGTACAAATAATTTTAAGACATACACATGTAGATACACATGACTAATATACACACACAATTATGGAAAATTTATAGTAGTCAATTTTACAATCATTTTAATAGCTGCACACAAATTAGTGTTCACAGAACTAAAACTGTCAACATGATTCCCTTTTCCCCACTTCTCGAATATCGTCTGAATTACTTTTCACTGATAAATTTTAAAAATACTATCATCTTCCTATACAACTAACCAATCTTTTTTTTTTTCCACAACTCATAATAAAATATTTTACTCTTTTGGCTTTAGAAAAGGCATACAATTTAATTCCACTTATTTTAATTTTTGACTCCTAAAACATACAATTCATTTTTTTCTGTCAGCTTTAGTGCAATTATTTGGTACTGCAGTTACTGAAGTTTAAGTCATGAACCTGAGCCAGTAATTCAAATGCCTTTTTTAAAATAGAAAACACCAACGCGCTGTTTTGCTGAAGCATGTGTAACAGCCTCAAGATACCCCCTCCTAATAAATAGATTATGAAGAACTCAGTGGTGGCCAGCAGAGCACTTGATACGGATCCATTTAACTGTGTGAGGAGTCCGTTCTAAGGCAGCATCAACAAGCAGCATCAAAGCCTTCCCAACTGCCCAGAGAAACAAAGCCTCCAGGCTTCCGAGGGCCGAAACACAAGATTACACTTAGTAAATGGGCCGTTAAGTACCTGCAAGGAATCCCTTGGTTCTCCTGTCAGGCTTCTGATATGCTAGCTTGTGTGTTAGGTGTTTGTCATCTGTTTCAAACATATCTCCTTTGATACAGAGAACTACTTAGCAGCATCTTTTTTTTTTTCAGTTTTCTCTCTTCATTGATTTAAAACGGGTGCCGGACCGTGTGTGGTTACAGCCGACAACCTCATACCAAACGCAGAATGTCCTAACTGGGGTCAGGGCTCTTGTGAGAGGAGGAAAGAAATGAAGGCATTTGGAATGTTGAATCATTTCACATAGAGAAAAGCTGTGTTTTCAGGAGAAACATTCAGTGAATTCTGATCTCCAACTGATGTTAAATTGTGTTAAAGCCCCACAAGGATGCAAAATGAAATGGCCCGGCAACAAAAACAAAGGGAAAGGAAATGGTCTAAAGAAGCCCTATCAACGGATCATGCTCCTCTCGCCAGAGATCAGTTTGGATAAACTCATCATATTAGACTGACTTCCCAAAAGAATGAACTGATGTGCCACGTTCACAGTGGGAACATAAAAATCACTTTCTAAAAACTCTCTCCCTTATTTTTTCCTCATAAAGAGGAATTATGTATTCATTGTAGACAAAACCATACTAAACAAATTCAAAATACAAATTTTTGGTAGCAAACAGCAAGAAAAATCTAAGTCAAAATATAGTCTAGTTTTTACATAATTTTATATATTTATAAATTTATCAAAATAGTCTCTTAAAGTTCACAATACATACATAATGTAACACTGTATATGTAAATGTCATAACAAATGTATTACCAAAATACATTAAAAATAACCTTTTGAGATACCAAATTCAACATTAAAACTGTCTTAAAAAGTGTTGACAGCTCCATAAACCCAGTTTCAGTGCATTTAGAGTAGTCATTAGCCAGAGTTTTCTGGTTTCAAGTCTCTCGAAGGTCTTATGTTAGCGCTCTCCTTAATTTAACGTAAGAAGGCAGAAAGACTCCTCCGGCAATCAGCTGCTCTCTCTCTACATTGCTCATGCAGATGAAGACCTTGTGTCTAAGAGCGGAGTGCTTTCACTGGAGTGGCAGGGCCTTAATAATGAACATATTCAGACTGAAGGGACTGTGTGGGGGAGAGACAGAAACCCAGGTTAAAGTCTATCACATACAAAACTGGTAGTACATCCTGCAGCTTCCTCCTTCAACACAAGGCAATTTGCGTCTATAAGATAAAGGATCAATGAAATAAACTAAGAAGAAAATAGAAAAGGATGAAAAAAAAAAACAAAGCATTTGCTAAGAATAAGATACTCGATAATGTGACGTGATTGCAAGAAAACCATATTTTAAAAGGCTTACGATTTATTCGTAGCAGTTAAAAATTAAGTGCTATTTGCAAATTGGCAAGTGGCACCAAACTCACTTCTAAGCTTTTGTGCAATAATACTGAGTTTGACTCAAAAATATTAAACGACATCTGTAACTAAATTGAAATTTATTAGAATATACTTTAAGATTATACATACTTTGTTGAATCTAACGCATAACAAACAGTGCTTCTAAAGCAGTTGAATTAGGTGTCATTTATATAAATTCCTTAAGAATGCTTGAATTTAATAAATAGCTTACAAATCCTTTCCATTTAGGGGGACACAGAACACTACCAGCTTTGAAATGTAAGCTTAAGACCCAAAAGCATTTGTGCAGAAGAATCTTGCAGTCATAACATAATAAATAGTGGGCAGCTTTTGAGAAAAGTAAACAATGCAAATCCCTCCCATATCATATTAGATAATCACATATAAAAGGAACATGATGGGGATATGTAATCAAGAATGCACTGATAATAGACATTAACCAGGAAAAGATAAAGATAGTTCAAAAAAACTTGCCAGATACTTATTTTTGAGCAGCAAACAACAATTAAAAAGAAGGAACACAAATCAGTCTGAACATGAACAAATTCTTTTGCACAATTCTTCTAATCTAACACCTTAAACAACAAAGTTTACTTGATTTGCTACCAAATGTCCTTTTCTCCTCCCCCAATAATTCTTTTTCAAACTGATCTGCAGCATGGTATTCATAGGTCTTCTCAATTCTGAGACTAGTCCATTTTGTTGACGGTAGGCATATCTGTAAAAAGAATCTGTCTGTTGGGCAAATCATCTACAAAAGTATTCAAACTCTCTTTGTTCATTCTCATTGCTTCACAATCCCTGTGAATTTTATACCCTATGGACAGCCATTTACTAAGAATCTATCAACGCTGTGAGTCAAAAAGTTACCAGCCTGCCCTCAAACGGCAAAAGCCCACACTGTCACACAAACATCAAGTGAAAAGGCAAAGGTGTCCATGTTCAATAATGTGCGTAGGGTGAGAGTAAACTGTACACAAGCAAAGCATGAGGCAAGGGGTGGGAAGGGAAGGCTCAGGGAGAAGAGTGGTTCCTGAGGCTGCAAGTTTCCAAGAAGAGGTGAAATGTGAAGAGAGAGAATGGAAATGTTAGGAAGAATGAAAAAGGTTGTCAAGTTGACTTTCTCACCACAGAATGTGGTTTATGCCAAGCCTTCAGAACAGGGGAGACGATCAAGAAGCAGGGCACTATCGTATAAGTATACCTCAACTCACGGAGAGCCTAAGAGGTAAGACTGAGAAAGTCCAGTGAAACTGGTCTAACGCCTTGAAGTCCACGTATGTTTAATGTGTAGGCCCATCAGTTTGCCATCCTAACAATGAGAGCTTCAAAGTGGACTATGACTTTTCTAGCTGCTTTTTCCCAGTTTCTTCTGAAGTCTAGCAAGTAGGCAGGGAGGGCAGGGCCATAAGATCTCCCCAGCAGCAAGACTGTGAAGCATGCATGCTATATGCTGGCCAATGCTTTCGTAGGAATAATTAAATATTGCTTTTGTTCCAATTAGAAAAGTTATTCGTGTTTCCACTAACAGAAATTATGTAGCTCCTCAGATTGCTGTTAATTTAGAACAGAGTTGTTTTTGCAAGCACCCCTGAAGTTCCAACAATTCTCAATAGACGGAGATAGAGCAAATGAACAGACACCAGGCAAGTGGCCTTTGCTAAACTTTCTTCCAGGTAAAGTATTTTTAATATGCATCAATATATAGGGGGTAAATATGTGTACGTACCTATCTTTATTTATTTTATGGAATCATGATGCCCCTGAAAAACAAATAGTCTAGAATAATTTTAGGGATGTCTATCATTCATATGAAGTATGTATTCATATTTGCCTTCTGGCAGAAGCCTTTCCTTACACACAGCAGAGGTCGTAAACTCTAGGTGCTGTTTAATCCAACCTACAGACAGAGTTTAGCACAATCCCTACTGCCTTCCTTTGCTACGCACCCAGTGTGCTCACTTAATGCTGCCTAGCTGGCTCTGGGTCCTCTGTAAACAAATAAAGAGATGATTTGGCTGAAGAATGGACCTTCTGTCATGCTGGTTAATTCATTCAACAAATAATTATTAAACAGCAATGGTATACATTGGCACTGGGGGATAAAATAAGATACCAAAGTTCTTCCATGATTTCTTTATGTGGTATAAAGAACGTTAAAGGAAATAATAGATCAGTAAAAAGGGCTTAACAAATTATTCTGACATCAGCGTTTTGTAACAAATTAACTCCCTTTCATTTTCAATCTAAAACAAAAATCTTAATGGAAGTGGAGTTCGGGAAGAAAGAGAATTGTTAAAGACTAGGAGATATATTCAGTCGAAAAAAACCATAACTAATATTTCAAGGCCTTTTCACTGGGGAAGCAATCATGTGGGATGACAGTGACATTTAGATTCCATATGCTTCCTTGATGGGGCTGTACCAAGGGCCTCGGGCTCATCTGTTACCTGTATCCTAAAGTTACTAATAAATATCCCAGAAAACTCAATAACCGTTATTAACATTGCTAAATTTTTACAGCAAAGATGCAAATGTATTTGTATTCCATAAACAATATCATTCTTGCTATTGATTTTGTTATTCAGAAAATAGATTAAAGTACCATGATCCAGAATTCTTAATAAACTAGATATATGACTGAAGAGGTCAATTATTCTGTGATAGATACTTATTGAGTACTTCCTATATACCAGGCACAGTTCTAAACATTTTATATGTATTAACTCATTAAATGCTCCAGGTAACTCATTTTACAGATGAGGAGATTGAGGCATGGAGCGGTGAAGTACTTTGCCCAAGGTCACACAACGAGAAGGTCATGGAGCTCAGCAGTCTGGCTTAAAGCCCAAACCCTTAGCCACCATCGTATAACGCCGCAAGACACTTCTAGCTTTTGTCCTGTGATCACTGCATAGTCAACTAGACATTTTCTGTCACCCTAACACAGAAAAATAATAACTGGAAGCAGAGTATGATCCTGAGTGAGAAGAGAAATATTAAATTACGAAAAGAGAAAGCAATATTTATTATACTATAAAGGAGACATAGACATTTTAAAATGAAAAATCCTGTTAGGACTGAATCAAAGTAATTTTCAGGAATATGCTAAAAAGAAATTTTCCTTATAAGAATACCCACGCTTAAGTACTCTGATTAAAGTTTTAATTCTGCTTAGCCAATGTTTATCACTACCATAAGAATTAATACCTAATGCATCTGTAATTTTTACAAAAAGTCAAGAATTACAATGGATATGGTTATGAAGGAAGGGGCACCTGAGGTGTAAATATTATTTTACAACGTAGTGCTTATTTATATATATATAATTTCTCAGAATATTCAAGTTCCTGAGCCAGTAAGTTCAACAGGGTTATAGTGAGTTAAGACCAGATCAAGTTTATCATGAATATATGGTGTTTTTATAGTGTGAATACCATAAAACTAATAATACAGCAATATTCAGCCTGCAAAATAAAGATAAAATTACTTTACACTTGCAGCCCCCTAAATTTTTATGTCAAAATATAAGCTTCCATCAAGAAGTCTTGTTCCCTGAAAGCAGTTAGATTTGACATAAAACTAAGTGTTAGGTAAGGAGATCAAGACAATTTGTTCTGTTCTGGAAATTTGCTACTAATCTGTTTTGGCAGATGTAGGTAGTGACTTTAAAAATTTAGCTATTCTGGAGGTGTTTCTTTTTTAAACAGCCCAGTTACCTAATCATGGTAGAAAAATGTCTAATAATTATAGATATAAATACTGTTAAGCTGGTTAATAAATACAATTATACATTGACTATCAAAAACAGCAAGCTGTAAAGAATAATGAAAAATTTAGGTCTTTGCCAGCAAATGAATGAAATGACGTCTTAATGTTCAAATAACTTAGACCAAAGGCCCTATGACCTGGAATGTTAGTTTCCTACTCAGTCAAAATCCTGACTCAACAATTACCATGTGCTTTTGCCACACTGACTCTTTGTCTTGTCTCCTGCATTTCCCCATCTTGCCGAGTCCCTTAAGGAAGAAAAGCAGTCTACTTAGCTAGCTACCCTTGGTGTGAGTTCTAGCTACAGAGGCAAAAAGCACCTTAAAAAGTGGTTTGTTTTCATGGCATAGATAATTAAAAGAAAAAAATACGTTTGGCAATATGGTATCCTATTTTATATATAACTTCAGTATTGAATTTTAATGAACAAATGGGGAAAAAATAAACACTAAGGAATAATAAGTGTATCTATAATTGGCTCTATACTCTGGGGTCTTTTATGGCTTTGCAATAAAGAGTTTCCAGTTTTTGTATCGCTTGTAAGTTACCAGCGCACAAAATGTGTGCATTGATACCCATTTCCACAAATGTGGTTTCAGAATACTGAAAGTTTTTGCCTTTGCTAACATAGTAATACTTCTCTAGTAACACTAGTAGAGAAACATAGCTGGAGAAGGTTTTATTGGCATCATATTAACACAAAAAGGCTAAGGTTTTTTGATAAAATCAGCTTTGAAGGAGGTGTAACCATTTTTCTATAGCCTTCTCAAAGCATTTCGGGGACCCCAATATTTAACAAGCCAATTGCAGTTAATTAAAATGCTATATAAAATATTCTTCCACCCTCCTACCTAACTTTTAATAGATTCTTTTTTTCTGAGTGAACCTAATCTGTGCTTTTCAACAATCACAAAAAGCTCAATTGTTAGATGAC